CCTTCCTTCCTTCCTTCCTTCCTTCCTTCCTTCCTTCCTTCCTTCCTCCTTCCTCCCTTCCTTCCTTCCTTCCTCCTTCTATCCTTCCTTTCTCCTTCCTTCCTTCCATCCTTCCTTCCTCCCTCCCTCCTTCCTTCCATCCTTCTTCCTTCCTTCTTCCTTCCTTCCATCCTTGCTTTTTTCCTATCTATCTATCTATCTATCTATCTATCTATCTATCTATCTATCTAATGAGGGTTTCTCTTCTGTGTAGCTCTGGCTGTCTGGTAACTTGATCTGTAGGTCATGCTGGCCCCAAACTCAGAGATCCACCCGCCTCTGCCTCAGGAGAGCTGGTGTTAAAGGTATGCACCATCAGGCCAACTGACCTTTTGGTAAGAGAAAGACGGCTACACAAAGCTGTCTTCTGAGACCCACGTGTGAATTGTTTCAGATTTGTATGAAAATACATGTATTGCATGTGCATGTGTGCATACTCACTGATTATACACAAAATTAAACATTTTAATACATGTATTTTATTTTATAGCCAGGCTCTGGATAAGTTTCCTAGGCTGGCCTTTTTGTGATCTATCTGCCTTAGTCTCCTGAGTCTGGGATTAGAGGCATAGACAACCACTCCCTCTCACACTAATAATCTGGACTTTTTTTCTCATCTGTTTCTCTGTATCCAATTAGAAGCCCAGTTCTACAGATTCTACTCCAGATCGAAAGGCTGCTGACACTGGGTACTTCTGCTGCTACAAATATCACATGATATTCCAAGCTTCATGTACTTGTTTATTTGTAGGTGCTGGGGATTGAACCCAGGTCTTCACAAATGCTAAGCTATACCCTCTTCCGAGATTTATCTCCTCATTTTACTTTTATGTTGAGACAGAGTCTAACTAAATCACCTGGCTGACCTTGAACTTTGGATCCCCCTGCCTCAGTCTCCCGAGTTCTTGACATGACAGCCCTTCACCTTCCAGGCTAAGTTACCAAGCATCATTTAAAAAAAAAAAACAATACTTCAGTATTTCCCGAACTTTTCCACAGAAGTGCCTTTAGCAGCAGAGGAAACTTTTAAAGGGTGGGTGGGAGAATACACTTGTGGAATGTAGCTCAGTGATAGTCAGTTTCAATTGTCAGCTTAACAAAGTCTGGAATCACCTGGAAAGAGGATCTTCATAAGGGATTGTGGAGATCGGGTTGCCCAGTGGACATGTCCATGGAGGATTGTCTTGATTATTTGATTGGTGTGGGAAGACCCATCCTTGGGCGGTACCATTCCCTAGGCTGAGTGTGCATTCAGCATTAATCTCTATTCTCTGCTATGATGGACAGAACCTGAAGTTGGGAGCTAACGATAAACCCTTTCTCCCCATTTGTTCTTCCTGTTTTTTAAATCACAGTAACAGAAACAATTGTTTGTTGTTATTGCTGTTGCTGTTTTTTTACGTGAATGAATGTTTTACTTACATATATGTCTATACATCATGTGGGTACCTGGTACCCAAGGATGTCAGATGATGGTCTTGGCTTTCCTGGAATTGTAGTTAAGGCTGGCTGTGAGTCATGTCTGGGTGCTGAGAACCAAACCCAGATCCTCTAATGAGAATGAGTGTTCTTAAGCACTAAGTCATATCTCCAGCGCTTCCCACCCGTTTTTGTTTTGCTTTTGTTTAATGAGATGAGTCTCAGATATCTCAGGTTGGCTCAAACTCTCCATGTAGTTAAGAACAGCCTCAAACTTCTCATTGCCTTGCCTCGCTACTTCCTTGAGTGCTAGGATTACAGCCATGTGCCACAGCCTCCAGCTTATGAAATGTTGAAAATCAAACTCAGTTTTGTGCATGCCAGCCACTCTGCCAAATGGCCTTCCTGCCCAGGCCCTGTAAGCAGCCGGTATATGAAGTATTTGTCTTCATATATCAGAGAGTGTCTTGTAAGGGAGGGAGGGTCTCATATATACCCAAAGAAGACCTGAATATCTGAATATTTCTTTCTCTTCCTCCTCCTCCTCCTCCTCCTCCTCCTCCTCCTCCTCCTCCTCCTCCTCTTCCTTCTTTTATCTTAACGGTGTCCTCACTACAAAGCCTTGACTGGTCTGCAATTCACTATGTAATCACCAGTCTGTCCTCAAATGCACAGAGATTCATCCATCCACCTGCCCAAGTGCTGGGACATCACAATTGCTTGTGCCACCTGCCCAAGTGCTGGGACATCACAATTGCTTGTGCCATTACACCCAGCTAGTTTTGTTTTAAAGCTTGGTGCACAGACCATAATGTAGGCGAAACACCTACACACACACACACACACACACTAATGAAATAAAAATAAAGAATTACATTTTATTTTCACAGCTATTATTACTCTCTGTTGAGTTGGAATACTTAGTATGCTCTCAGTATTTAGTTGTACAAGGCTGCTTACAAATGTCTCTTTGCTATTATTTTCTAGTAGAGTTTTTCAACTGAATTCCTTAGAACGAAGACTTGCTATCTGTCCTACACTGAACTTTCCAGAATTAGATCGAGGAGCTTCAAGGATCTGGAGAAACCTTCCAGCTCATTGTGATGCAGCTGAAATTTGAAGCTGCCTAACTTATCCAACACTAAGTAGTTTCCGCCCCGCCCCTCCCCGCCTCGCCCCACCCCGCCCCACCCATTGGCGGTTGGACTTAGGTTTTTTGTTTTTAAGAGATAGGTTTTTTTCTGTGTAGCCCTGGTCGTCCTGGATCTCACTCTGTAGACCAGGCTGGCCTTCAAACTCAAAGATCTGCTTGCCTCTGCCTCCTGAGTGCTGGGTATAAAAGCGTGGGCTATCACCGCCAGGAGGTTCCAGGCGAGTGCTCTACCATTGAGCCTTGCGCTTCATTTTCTCATCCAAGTTTTAAACAGAATAACAAAAAACTTACTGTATATAACTTATGCAAGTGGAAAGTGTTCATTTCTGAAACAAGATGTTACCTCTAAAGGCTCTTTTACAAGAATTCTGCTATAAAACATATTTTTCAGCCTGGCATGATGGTGTATACCTTTAATTCCAGCGCAGGCAAACGCAGGAGGCTCTCTGTGAGCTCGAGGCAAGCCTGGTCTACAAAACGAGTACCAGGACATCCAGGACTATTCCACAGAGAAACCCTGTCTCGAAAAACTAAAAACAAAACAAACAAACAACAACAAAAACAAACAAAAAACCCACCATTTTTTTTTTCAGATAAGCTTTTCACATAAAAGAGCAAAAAGCAGCTTGTTAAATCACTTGTCGCCTCCTAGTGGCAGTGTTTTAATGTTGTGACCAATAACACATTTAAAAATACAGAAATCGTCTGAGTTCGAGGCCAGCCTGGTCTACAGAGTGAGTTCCAGGACAGCCAGGGCTACAGAGAGAAACCCTGTCTCAAAAAACAAACAAACAAACAAACAAACAAACAAAACAAAAAGAAAGAAAGAAGGAAAGAAAGGAGATTCCTTTTCGTTTTGTTCACATTTTTTTTTCAAAGTTAATGGGCATGTGAACAGTACGAGTACTTCCATACTAATATGAAACGGAACAAGGAAAAGCAGGTTAGCCAAGCCTTGGTGCTCGCTTTAAATCCCAGAGTTTAGAGAGCAGATATGTTGGAGGCGTTATTTAAAAACCCAGAAGGGTTACACGGTGAGAAACTTTGAATAAAAGGTATGTACAGAAACTGTATTACCTAGAACTGATTACCTATAACTACCCCCATAACCCAAACACAGTATATTCTAACTTTAAACCAAATAGAAGGAAGGAAACCACTCAGACTGCGCTCTCTCCCTCCCCATTCTCAGCGAGAATCGGGAACGATCATCAATGGCCAGAAGCAGTTGCAGGAAGCAACACTAAAGGCCGGTTTCACGCTCAGGAGACAGCGCTGCACCTCCTCCTCGTGGTTTCGGGTGCTCTACACAGTCAGAGAAACTTCTCTAGTGACGAACTATAGAAATGATCCCTGAAAGTATAGTCTTACCGATCAGCCCCCACCGCCGCGAGGCCACGGCTGACAGTCCATCTTACACTAATGGTGACATTGCTCCCCCCATCCCCCCAACCCTGTAACAGTTTAAGAAGTACCTCACACATGCATTTTCGAAGCTGTGTTCGTATATTATTTTGCAAAAAAATATCATTCTGAATACTTATGACTTGTAAACTAACGCAGATTTAAGTTCTTAATTAACATATTGAGGATGATAGCCAATCACACTCCAGTGTCTTCGGTCGCCCAAACAAAACCACTTCCGGACGGTTTTTTTAAAGGGTGTGCGCGGTTTCTCAGGCTGCATTTTGCTTGATGGGTGCTGGTTTTCGTCCTCTCCTATCCGAATCCCACCCCGCCCCAGTCTCCCTCGTGTAACATTCGGTAGCGTCACTGTGGGTTTGTCTGAAACCACTATGTAGCCACCCCGGCCTAGAACTTGCATTAATCCTCTCCCTCGTGTCCTTAGTTGCTGCGATGAAAGGTGCAGGCCACCATTGATTCTTTAGTTATGTGCGGCAATGTATATGAGTTTGGTTTTTAAAGTGGAGGCAGTTTATTACGCTCATCCTATGCTACTTACTAAGTTCAGAGTAGCCTGAGCTCTATGAGCCACGTTCATCAAAGCGGGGCTAAATACCCTAAATTCCCAAGGCTCGGAGCGCGTTGAGTCTCCACGTGGGAAACCCTTACAGAAGCCTGTCGCCGCCATCTTGCTTTCTGGCGAGGCGTCTGTGCGTCACGGGCCGCAATGGCCGGATGTGGGACGCCGCTGCCCGTATCCAAAATGGCGGCCACAGGGGGCGTGGCCAGTGATGGAGTCTCCGAGCGCTATGGCGGCGGCAGTGGATCCCAGTTGGGAGGACGAAGAGGAGGAGGAGGAGGAAGAAGAGGAGATAGAGGTTGTAAGCACCGGTCAGAGATCTGCAGCGTCGGCGGTCTTGGCTGAGCCACCCCCGCGTGGGGAAGGGAGTCCGGGATGCGGACGGCGGGAGGGAGGCCCGTGGACAGCTCGCTTGCTTTCATTAGCACGAGATGCGGCGGAGGGCTAGGTCCGGTTCTGATATACCCATTCTAGAAAGAATCGAGATGGTCTGGGCGGTTCTGGAGGTAATCGGTTTCCACCAGAAACTAGGTCGAGTTTTCAAAGAGAAATTTGGGGTTCCTTGTATACCTTATTAACTTCGCTTTCTTCCACCAGGAGCAGTTCGTTCTGGTAGAATTGTCAGGGATTATTGATTCAGACTTTCTCTCCAAATGTGAAAATAAGTGCAAGATTTTGGTGAGTCTTAGAATTCGGGGAATGTTGTAGATTTTCTTAAAGTTAGAACAAGACTGAAAGGTCCACAAAGAGAGAGAGACGTTCATGCCACCTTACAAAGCAGTGAATGTGCTTCAGGGTTATGCCAGAAGAGTAGGTAACAAGGGATTCTATGGGAGTAGAGAAAATGCCTGACTGCTTCTTCACTGTCTGAGTGTGTGGCTGGAGAGAAAGAGCAAAAGGTAACGCTTTATATGAAACTTCTGGGGGACTTTTAGAACAAAAGCCTTATCCATTGCTTAAGCAGTGGGTTACTTAAGTACTTAAGCAGTGCCTGCCTTCTTTCCAGTAGGCGTGGTCTCAGTTCTGTCCTCCAATAGTACCACAGTTGAGAGTACTAGTCTGGACCCAGACTCTGGTCTAAGTGTGGACAGGTATGCAGTGTTACCGGGCCAGCTGTCCAGCACCCAGGTCACCGCTTCACCTGTGCCTTTGGTGTGTCTCTGCTCACACTCATGCCTCACTCCTCACACGTCACTTAAAAAAAAAAAAAACCCACAGCAACAGAGCAGGCTGTCCTGGTGCACACATGTAAATGCTGTCACTGGAGAGCCCAAGGCAGGCAGGTCAGAAGTTCAATGCCATCCTAATGGTATAGTAAAGTCTAGGCCACCTTGATCTACAGAAAACCCTGTCTTCAAAAAACCTGGAGAAGACACAATTTAAAATATTAAGTTATTGCCTGGTGGTGGTACACAGCTTAAATCCTAGCACTCTCAAGGCAGAGGCAAACAGATCTCTGAGTTCCAGGCCTGCTTGATCTGCAGAGTGAGTCCCAGGACAGCTAGGGCTGTTACACAGAGAAACCCTGTCTTGGGGGGAGGAGGGAAATGAAGTTAATTGTTATCAAAGTTTTCGGGCAGAATCCCTGGCTCCAAATATTTAAACAGGCTAATTTCTGTCACTTACCCTAACATGCCAATCAGAGAGGAGTAGTGTGGTGTACATAGCAAGTTCCAAGACAGACAGACTCATAGAGAGACCTGTCTCAAAACGACAACAGAAAGCCCACTAAGGCATAGCGAACATACTCTTAATCCCACCCAATGTATGGGAAGCACAAGCAGGCATATCTCAGTGAGTTGAGGCCAGCCTGGTCTACATAGTAAGTTCCAAACCAGCCAGGAAACAGAAACCCTGTCAAAACAAAACAAAACAAAACAAAACAAAACAAAACAAAACAAAAAACAAACAAAAAGAAAAGAAACCCTGTAAAATAAAAACCAAACAGAGATGAATAGCGGATTAGGGAATTTAGCCAGTGTGGCCATGTTGGAAAGAGATAACCTACAAGGGGCTGACAGGAACCTTGCCATTATGTAGAAAGGGAATGTGGATACAGAACAGGTGACCTTGGCCAGGCCTGTGGTCCAGTCGATCACCATTTTGGTTCTGGTTCTGTAAGAGGGTCTAGAGAAATTACAAAATACACTGTCACCCAAGGGGGAGGGGCAAAATGGTTGCCATGATACTGCTGTTCCTGCTCTAGAGTGGACCTTTAGTCCTGCCATGGGTAACTGCCCTCATTTGGTGAGTGATCTTTCAACGCTTACTGTTGTTTGGCATTAGTTTAAGTCCTGTAAGACTCCGAGTGAGCTTCCTGGAGACCCCCCAAATGAGACTCAAGAACGGAATTTGTTGCAAAAGCAAGAGGTTTATTTTTCCAGCCCACTGGGGTTGTCCTGCACCCAGAGGAGAGGTGACCCCTAATCTTTCTTCCAAAAACCTTTTTTTTTTTTTTTTTTTTTTTTTTTTCTTAAGTTTTTTCGAGACAGGGTTTCTCTGTGTATCCCTGGCTGTCCTGGAACTCACTCTGTGGACCAGGCTAGCCTCGAACTCTCGAACTCAGAAATCCGCCTGCCTCTGCCTCCCAAGTGCTGGGATTAAAGGCGTGCACCACCACTGCCCGGCTATTCCACAAGCTTTTTATACAGTTTTTGAGAGCAGATTATAGCAACAGCAACTAGGCATGTAATGATTGGTGGTTCTGGTGACCTTTAAATTAATTGCCTGGGCAGGGAGGGGTGACCCAGGGACCTTCCCTAAGGCCTGGTGGGAAGCTCCAGCTGTGGCTCTCAGGCCCTTGTCAGAGAGCTTTCTATTGACCAATCTTGTTTTTTCCTAGAGTACAAGATAACTTCAGGAGAAAATGAATAACCCGGGAAGAGAAAAGTTAAAGAGGCAAAGGTAGCCTGAGAGAGGGACCAGATGGAGTTGGGACAGTATGTGGTGTCTCTGACAGAATATTATGGGATATTGGGGGTGTATGTTGTTATAGAAAGTGAGATGGAAAGGAAACGGGGTAAAAGAAGGATTTACCAGAAGCTCTCAGAAAAGCTAAGCTGATAAGAGGGGAAGCTCCCTATTAAGAAACCGGTAACAGGATAGGAGGGAGCCTTCTTGGTGGTAACAAATACTTCTGAGGTGAGAAACTTGCAGGCAGAAGCGTCAGTGGAAGGAGAAGTATTTAGGCTGAGGAGAGGGAGGCAGCATTAGAGAGATTCGAGGTGCCTTATGGCAGAGGAAAAGCTCGGTCGTCTTACATTGGGTGTGGATGTGTCCAGGGATGATGTGCTATCCCGTATCATCATGGGGTATCCAGGGATCAGTAACTTCATAGTTGTCCATGAGTATGGAATTTTACAGAAATATTTTTCTGGGACTAGAGAGACAGTTCAGCTATAAGCTTTGTTTTGTTTTTGTTTTTTTGAGACAGGGTTTATCTGTGTAGCCCAGGCTGTCCTGGAACTCACTCTGTAGACAAGGCTGGCCTCGAACTCTTGAGAAATCCGCCTGCCTCTGCCTCCCAAGTGCTGGGATTAAAAGTTGTGTGCTACCGCTGCCCGGCCTTACTCATTTTTTTAAAATTACATTTATCTCATGTAATTGTGTATGTGACCGTATGTATGCAATGGAGGCCCAGTGGGGATCAGAGTACAACTCGTTGGAGTTTCTGCTTCCACCATGTGATTTCTGGGGACTGAGCTCAGGTCAGCAGGTTTGATGGCAAGCACCCCACCTGCTGAGTGGTCTTGATAGCCCTTGAGTTTGTTGTTGAGACAGGGTCTCACATGTAGCCTAGGCTGGCCCCGATCTTGCTATATAAACTAGACTGGTGTCAGACTCGCAGATGGCCTGCCTCTCTCTCTGCCTTCTAAGTGCTGGGATTAAAGGCATGGCCCATCATACCTAGCCCAAGGGCATTTTTGTGTTTTTTGTTTTGAGACAGGGTTTCTCTGTGTAGCCCTGGCTGTCCTAGAACTAGCTCTGTAGACCAGGCTGGCCTCGAACTCAGCTGTCTGCCTCTTGTCTCCCGAGTGCGCCTTGCCACTGCCATGTTCCAAGGGCATTTTTTTTTTTTTTTTTTTTTGGTTTGAGATAGGGTTTCTCTGTGTAGCCCTGCCTGTCCTGGAACTCACTCTGTAGACCAGGCTGGCCTCGAACTCAGAAATCCACCTGCCTCTGCCTCCCAAGTGCTGGGATTAAAGGCACTCGCCACCACTGCCCGGCCCAAGGGCATTTTTTGAAAGATCATTTATTTTATGTGTATGAGTATATTAGCTGTCTTCAGACACACCAGAAGAGGACATCGGATCCCATTACAGATGGTTGAGAGCCATCATGTGGTTGCTGGGAATTGAACTCAGGACCTTTAGAAGAACAATCAG